ATATATATATATATATATTCCTTTTACTCAAAGGGAGGAATTGAACTTTTGTATTAGATAGTTTACAAAAGCACACTGCTCAACCATTGAGTTAGACTTCCTTAGTTCAGTGGTCTATATTTAATCCTGCATGACATATATGGTCAAGTGCACTAATGTAATATCATCAAATGTATTATTTTTAATGGGGGATTACGGATCAATAAATCTTGGTCTTCATATTTCCAATTGGAGATCAAATTAACCAGATTTCCGAAAAAAAATGTTCAGTCGTTGACCGAATATTCTTGCTGAATTTGTTACCTATTACTAAATGAGATTATGTTTTTCGATGATTTCCTAAATTATAATGCTCTAAATTCATTGCATGATTTGTGTGCTTTTTTTTCCTTCCAGATTTTGATTTTACATCAAACAATCAATACATTGCATCGTCTTCATTGGATAAAACTGTGAGAGTGTGGGAGATAGTGAAAGGTGTTTGCATACGGGTGATATATGGAGTCTCTTCACAATTGTGTATCCGTTTTCACCCTGTAAGTATAAATGGTGTGCATGTGTGTATTTATGTACAAGGGTGTGTGTTTTCATGCATGAGGAATGCTAGTCTTCTCACCTTTTCAGAGGATAGCATTGTCTTCTACTCTCCTTTCATAGTTTGACAAAATACCCTCTTGCCTTAGATTTGAAAAATTTATATATTCTGTTAATTCTGGTAAATGTTTTTGATAAATTTTTCATCTTATGATTTCATCTTATATTTTCTGTTAATTCTGCCTTTTATCTTTAGCCTTGTGTTTATTTTAATTTACTAGATTCTCACTTCAGCTGTCTATCTTTCTCCAAAATTTCTAATAGTCATTCTCTACACCAAGTTAGAGAAGTTATAAAATTTACTTTCCTAGACTTGGAAGATGGCTAGATTTAGAGTTGAATCTCTCACATAGTATGGAGAAGGACATAGTGAAAATACTATACTAGGAGGGAAATACCCACCTTGTTGTGCTCATGATCTCAGGCGGAGATTAATTACTACTTTTGATGGTGGATACTTCATACTAATATTATGGTTACCAAAAATAAATAGTATGCAGAAGGACATAGACATTCGATATGATCTTGAATTTAGATTTACTTGTATTTATTTTGTTCTCAGTTCTCACTCATCTCTTTTATCATTGGTTGAACTTGCCTTTTAAGAGCAAATGATGGGGAAAACTTGGTACTTTTCACTGTGGACTGTGGTCCATGTTAAAGAATAAGGCTCCTCTCTTCACATTGGGTTAGTTTTGGGTTGCGTGTGTTTGAGGCTGCAACAAATACCAATATGTAGAATTTTTCCTTCTTTGTCACATCTAACTGAAATATTATTCTCTAACAGATAGAGTGAGTGCAGGAGGAGGGGAATTTGTCAGCTGGGAAAGGTGGGGTGGGGGTGGGATGACAACAATTTGCAGCATATTTTCTGTGTCATCTAGTGTGACTTAAATATTCTTTTGCAACTTGTTTGATATTTCCAAAGCTATAGTTTCTTTCCTATAGGTTTTATCATTATATATGTGGATTTTGATATTTCATGTAGGTAAAATAATTTATTCTTTTGCATTCATCCGTGGTTGCTACTGACAACAGTATTTTTTCTGTATTTGGTGCAGGTAAATAACAACTTCCTTTCAGTTGGCAATGCAAACAAAGAAATCAATGTAAATATGTTAATTGTTTTCATTTTGTTTTATAGAAAAGGAAGTAACATTTGACAGCTTAGCTGAAGCCTTTCTATTAGAATGTATTGCTTTTAGTCATTTCCTTTCTTGAATAGTAAGCCAAAAATGTAAAATGCAGCATCATTCAGCCCTTACATGTCATTAAAGTAGCATTGTGTCTTTTGTTTGCAAAGTAATGAGAACAGATTATTATTTTTTATTTGGTCCTATGGATATGCTCAGAAGTTTCAGAGAGAATGGGTGAAATGAATAGGGAATGGAAGAGAGTTACGTCCTGTTCCTGTGTTTAGATATTAATAATGGGGGAGGAAATGGGAAGGTTCTGTGGTTTATAAGTGATGCACTGTAAAAGTTAAATATAACCCTTTTATTTTAAGCTACACAATTTATGAAGGTAAATTTGTAAATGCCATGTTTTGAAAATTAAAGTAACATCTCATTACTCCTCATTTAGGAGGGAAAAAGATAGTTTAAATGGGAAATGTCAAACTCCTAAATATGGAGAATTATTCCCTTCCCATCATTTCCTTTCCACTCTCCACATTCAAACACACTTGTAGATCATATGATTGGGTCAATTGATAGGAAGAATGTTTGTTTGTTCAGACACGGGAACAAGAGGAAGACAATGACAGTCAGTTGAATTCATTCAACACGTATTTCCATTTATGATATGATAAATATTCCCACTCTTAACTGTTTCTGGCTTAGTTACTATGTTACTACCTCTATTCCTTTCCTCCATAAAATCCTATGCTATTATGTTGTCATTTTTTACTTGCATTATGGTGATTTATTATTTTTCTCAAAAATTATATGATGCAACAGGTGTTCAATTTTAGTACTGGAAGGATAATTAATAAATCACTATTTGACAGTGAAGTTACCGCTATGGACCATGACCATACAGGACATCTCATATTTTGTGGAGATGCACAGGTGAGCTGCTCTATATATGCACATGTATTATGTATATCCCAATTGTTATGCTTATCTCACTTTCTTTAGGTACTGGGTTTTATGTGCAGGGATGTATATACTCAGTAAATATGAACACCCACACCGGTGTATTATCTCGCTCTCATCGTTATCGAAGTAGTAGCAGATACAAATCTCCTGTCACAACAGTGCAGTACCGGAGCTTCTCTCTACTGGCTCGGGGACCGGTGTTGTTGACATGTACTCAGGATGGAAACCTGTCTTTCTTCAGGTTCAAAATAATTTGCCCTTAATCCCAAGTGTATTCAGTTGTCTTCGTTGAACTGTTAATTTTCTTTGGAGCACTAATGTTAGTGTATTATAGTGTGGCTTTGGAGATAAAAGGTTATTTAACCATTCGATGCTCGCTCAAATTAGCTCCGCGAATACACAAAATTCAAGCTTCTTTCTGTCCTCTTCTTTCCCTTGAAAAAGGGGAATTCATAGGTATGTTGATATCATTCTTGCATACTTCTTTATCTTCTTTTCTCTCCTCCGTCTCTCGAGAAGCTTTAAAATAATAATGCTGCTTTTATTAATTAAAACCTAAACTCTTGCCGTGCCAAACCGGAAAATAATTCACATACAGTCATAAGTCAAGGATTATGTACTGTCTGCATTTGTCGACAAAAAGTATTTGTTTATTACTAAATAATGCTTGCTTTAAGACCTGAAAAGCCGTGGAGACCAATATGCTAGTAACTGTTTTCTGAAATATATTTGACTGAGGCAACGTTGCAGTTGCTTACTTTCTAACATTATCCTCTGTTGTCATGTAAAGTTACTGGAAATGAGGACTCAAATGTCTATTTCTATGATTTAACGCGGCCAAAACATACATGTGTGAACAAGCTTCAGGTTAGTCTGTCTTCCATTGAAGGTATTAATTTTATAATGAAGCTCAAAATGAAGAAAATTTATATGATGCAGGGTCATCGGTTTCCTGTGATGGGTATTTCATGGAACCATGGAGAAAACTTATTGGCTTCATCTGATTTTTATGGCGTAGTAATTGTGTGGAAGAGAGAAAGATCAAATCAAAAGTAAAATACATAACAATAGAGGTTTAATGCGTATAGTTGAGGACTTGTAAAGATAGCTTTCTTTACACTGTTACACTGTTTTCCTTTCTCTTTCCCTTTTACCATATTCCTTTTGTATTTTTTGTGCTATTATTTTTTAATTTTTTAATTTTGTTACAATGTACTTTGTATCCATGAAGTCAATCAATTAATCATCCACAGCCTCACAGGAAACGGAAGAAATTATATTCAAAAAGTGTATTGTTTTGTGAGGAAGAAAATGTGTTCTTTAGACACGATTAGGGATTTTGTATACGAATTATGAGGAATATATAGATATTCTGTTTTGACATTCTCCACTCTGTAATTTTATAAAATCACAGAATAAGGATTTTTTGTCTGAATTAGCATTTGTTGATTGAATTTACAAAGTAATTATGCTAACTGTTCATGAACTCGGTGCTCACTGTTCATCCGAGTCCCAGCAACAGAACTTCCAATTTATTTCTTAGAAGTAGCACACCAAATAATGGTTCGATTAATCTGAGTCCAGTCCACCTTAATTTTCATGGTTCTACAGGGATCCCAATCTATGTTCTTAAAATTTGAGCAATTTTAGGGACTGTGTGGTTTTCTACTTTTATTTTTTGAAAATATTTTTTATTTTTAATTTTCCAGATTTAGAAAACATGTTTGAATTGATTTTTGTTTTCTATTTCTAAAAATAAAAATATTGAAATTACATTTGATTTAATTTTTTTTCAATAAAACATTTTTAAATGCATTTTTTTATAAACTTTACAAACAAAATTTAAATAACAAAAGTATAAGTACATATGTATTACTGGACAATTATGAATAAATAAATTTATAATGTTTCTTATATATTAGATATGAATAATTATTTTATGTGAGAACATTTTTAAAGACTTTTTCTTATATAAAATGTTTTTAGATTTTTTTTAATGAGAGAATCTTTATGAGAGTTTTGAACTTCTTATCTATTTTAATTTATATTTATCATACATTTTTAAATTAAAATTAATAATTTTAAAATAAATTAATAATTAAAAATAATTTTGAGTCACAATATAAATTCTTTTTTATAAGTATAAAAGTAATTTATACATTTAAAGATATTTATTTTTTGTATATAAATTTTTAATTAATATAATTTATAGATTGAAATATATAATATTTAATTGTGTGTATAATTTATCATAAATTATATTTTTACATAACAAATATTTATTCATTCCAATAATATTTACTAAAATATTAAAATATATTCTCAATTAGATTTTAGATGAATGAACAAGAATTCTTGTACATCTTCATCACTATTATTCCATGTACAATACATATAAGAATATCCGTTCAACCACATCTTGATTTTGATGGAAAAAAAAAAAGTTAAGGGATTATTAAGATTTTGATGGAAAAAAAAGTAAGGAATTCACTTAATAATTGATATTCTACATTAAATTTCAATGATCTAATAGTTAAATTAAAAAAATTTAATGTATAAATCAAGTTTGTAAATTATTAAGAAATTTAAAAATTATTTGATATTCTTGTTTCATTAATTCAAATTAATGTATAAAATATTTTTATAATTATCCGTTAATTTGATGTAATGAAACAGAATATCAAATAAATTTTAATTTAGAAATTTGCAAACATAATATATGTATTAAAAAATTTTAATTCAACGGTTGAATCATTTAAATTTGATGTACAACATGAATTATTGAATGAAGTAAGTTTAGATATAATTATTATTGGAACAAAACAGGCACACAAAACACATAATGAAAATGAGAATTATTGATAATAATTAATAATCATTAGATTTTAAAATAGATAACTCGGATTATAATCATCCACCACCAACATAATTATTTTTGTCATAATATATTTTAAAACCCTATTTATAATATTTTTCTAAATCAAATTTTAAGTATATTATTATTATGAAGTATAAATATTTAAATTGTTAAATCTTAAATATTTAATATAAGTAATAAAATTATTTTTAAATCTCTTGTAATATGCATAGTTACAAGAAAGAGGGTAGTTTTTCTATAAATAAATAAATAAAATTTAAAACCTACAGCAGATAAAATCTGCAAGTGTATGATTCCTAATCCTTAAGAGATAAACTTATCTCTAACTAAACTAAATAGTTAAAAAAAAGTAATCATTACTAAATTTGGCTATAAATAGGAAAAGGGGGGATCTTTAGAAGGAAAATTTGAGAAAAAGAGAGAACCTAAGAAGAGAATGAAGAAAGTGAAAAAAGAAGGAAGAAAAGGAACTCGAGGAAAAAAAAGAGTGGGAAAATTTCTTTTACCTTGTTTAAGTTATCTTTAACCAATTTCACTATTTTATTAAGGTAAGAGGAGGAGACTTTTATCCCTTTTAAATTTTTTTCATCATTATATTTATTTATTTTATGTTATATCTATGTATATTTATTCAGTGAGGTGTTCCTAACCTTATTTACTTGTTTAATCTATGATATTTTTAAGTCTAAATAGTCAATCAGGTGTTCTTAATTTATGTTGTTTAATTATTTTATGATATTTATAACTGTAATTTGACTAGTTTAATATTCTTAAACACAACTTATTTTTGCAAACTATGTTGTACTAAATTTTAAATAATTAAAAATATTCTAAATCGTTTAGTTTAATTATTTTTATATTATTTCTAATTATAGCTTAATTTAGTTAATCTTTCTAAGCTCATATTATTATTATTATATCATCATTTTTTTTTAAAGATAAGTGTTAATCTATGGCCATAAAAATGAAAATTTGATTTAATTTGTAGTTGGAGATTGGCCTTGGGAATTTAAATGAGTACAAACTTAAGGTGAAATATCCTTTTGTTATTTGAGATTATGATAAAGTTCATTTATCCTGACTAAGCACTACAAGAATAATTCAAGTTTCACTATGACAAGAAAATCTAAAATATATAATTAATCTTGGTTATAAATAATTTTGTACATTTTATTTATTTATCTGTATTTATTAGATAATTATTCTCACTCCTTATTTTTCTTATTTTAAAATTATATTATTTATAATGCAAAATGGATGGATCTACTAGCAATTCCAGATCTTTTTACAATTGTTATTTCTACTATTTTCCCGGGAGGAAGCTAGAATATCGACGCAGTATCTAACTCCATCAGATGGTAGGAAGAAGAAATACAAAATTGATAGAGGTTGTGCAAGCTATTAAAGACATGGCTACAACCTTGTTAAGAAATCAAAGACCAGAAGGACTTGGTGAATAACAATGATTGATTGAGTTTAGGAGAAATAAGCCTTCCCATTTTGAGGGAGGATATAAACCTGGAAAAGCTGAATTATTGATCAAAGAAATAGAAAAGATATTTCAAGCCATGAATTGTCCTAATAACCAAAAAGTAAATTATGCAGTGTTTATGTTAGTAGGAGAAGCAAAATATTGGTAGGATAGTACTAGAAGGTTATTAGAAGGAGGAGGAATAATTATTACATAGAAAGTATTTAGAGCTAAATTTTTAAAAAATATTTTCCTAATGATGTTAAAAGAGCTAAAGAAATAGAATTTATGCAATTAAAACAAGGGAACATGACAGTAGGAGAATATGCTTCTAAGTTTGAAGAATTGGGAAAATATTTCGTTTTCTTTTATCACCCTGATGAAAGAATGAAGTGTATTAAATTTGTGGATGGACTTCAACCAAAACTGAGAAAGGCAGTAGGAATATTAGAAATTTCTGATTTTCCTACAGTAATCCACAAATGTCACTTTTTGGAAGGTTTTGAGTAAAACAAGGATAATAGACCAAAATCTTTTAGCCCTCAGTTTAACAAAAAAAGAAATAATGAAGGAAAACCTTATGACTGACCTCAATAGAAATCCCAATCTTCTCAATTTTTAGAAAATTCTAGTAGACCTATAAATAATCAGGTTAAGTGTCTTAAGTGTGGACAGAGACATTATACTAAGGACTGTCATCTCAAAGAACCTGTCTGTTTCAAATGTGGGAAGCCTGATCATGTGTTCTTTGAGTGTGGACAACTAAAGACACATGCAAATACTTTTGTACCTAAACCAAGGCCTACTACAACTATGAGAGTTTATAATGACTAGAACTAAAGCTGGTCAAAACAATGATCTAATACAAGGTACATGTTTCATTAAAGGTAAAACTTTGAAAGTACTGTATGATTCAGAAGCACCCCATTCTTTCATCTCTAAAGATTGCATTCAACACCTTCAATTGTCAATTTCTTCTATAGAGACTAATCTAATTGTTTCAACCCCTACAAATAAATCTATGATTCTCAGTAAAGTTTGTTTAGATTATCCTCTTTTCATTGGTGATAGAAAAATTCTTGTAAGTTTAATCTATCTACCTTTATCACAATTAGATGTGATTTTGGGTATGGACTGACTATCTTTCAATCATGTCCTTCTCAACTGTGCAGAAAAGTCTGTAATATTTTCTAAAGGGAATTGGGTAAAGGAAGAATCCCTTAGGATTATGAGTAATTTTATAATTATTTCTGTTTGAAGAATTATTGGTCTTATTTGATTCTGTATGTATTTAGGAATATGAATATATGATTAATTGGTAAAAATGATGCTCTGGGAGAGAGAACGAAATTATAGAAAAGTGCCTGTAGGTTAGGTTTTGGAAAAATTGGATTATTTCTGTTTGAGGAATTAATTATACCATTAGATTCCGTATGTGTTGAGGATTAGAAATATATATTTTTTTAAAAAAAATATAGAAAAAGATTTTATTAAAATAAATTTTTATACAAACCCATTAAAAAGTATTTATTTTATTAAAAAAATTATTATTAATTTGACCCAAATGACACAATTAGAAACATATTAGATCAAGATTTTGAAAGACTGTTTTAATATGAAAACATGTTATAAATTCATAAGATAACATGGACATCTAAATAAAAATATAATTAATGAAAAATATAATATAAATGATAAGTTTTGAAACAAAGAAAAATAAAGTTAATATATTTTTCAATTTTTAAAAGATAATTGATCCTACTTTCATATCTTTCAAAGTAACATTTCTCCACATATACAAAACATCTTCTCATTCAAGTTCTTAGGTTTGAATAATAAGTTCAAAAATATGATATTTATCGGCTAGTAATGTTGAAGATGAGGTTTCATCTAGGATTGGCGAATTCACTTAAAAAATTCTCAGAACGACATTTTTGGTAATAGTTTTATAGATGTTAGCATAAGTTCAACTCATGTATTGAATAAAAATGATAATGATGGACTTAAAATTGTGAAGCTTAATTTAAAAATACCAAGTATTTTTCTCTATCAAGATCATTAAGGACGTGAAACAATTCATTTTCATGTCAAAAGTCATTCCTACAATTAGCAAAATCCTATGAAAATTTATGAAATTATTGTTGGGATACAAATAAGTTTCACATCAATAAAATAAGAGAAGAAATAACAACTTATAAAACACAAGCATACTCCAATGATTGAGAGGCATTTTGGGTGATGACTCAAGGCCTCTCAATCATTGTGAAGTTGTGTGTGAAATAACATTTGATCATTATCTAAAAAGCCTCTTAATCATTGTGGAGTCGTGTGTGAAATAACTTTATAAAAATAAGTCTTATAAAAGACACTCCTCATAACTCATAACTGATAGTGTATAAAACTAACTCTTATAAAATATCTCCTCAGATAAATATCATAAAATAACCTCATCAATTATATGTAACAATATTGTCAACACAATATATAAAAAATACATTTTAAATGAGAACATTTCTTATAATGAAAAATAAGAACTATTGATAATAATAATTAAACTAGACAGTTCATATTAAATGGCTATAATCAAAATTACCATACACCATTAACATCATAATTATTATAAATGTCATTACGATTGTTATTGTCATTGTCGTTGTCACCACCATTAATATTATTGCCACTACCACCGTCATTATCACCACTACCATTGCTACTAACACCATCACTATTATTTCCAATATTATAGTTGTCACCATCACTATTACTGTTGTCATTACTGTTGTATAAAAATCCTAGGTTAATTGATTAAGTAAATCTACAAAATTCACGTTTAATATAAAGTTATTGAACGGTGTAACACCAATGCGTACTCATTCATTCAAAATCCTAAAAACAAAGGAAAAATAAAATGAAAATATAGAAGCCACATGGTGCAAAGATCCGAAAATAGGTCAAGAGTTTAAAAAAAGCAAACTTACTTAATAAACTTGAAAAAAATAAAAATAAAAAAACCTAAATGGGTCAAGTCCAAAATTAAACCTTTTAAAACGTTCCCAATAGCACGAAGTAAAACAATTAAAAAAAATATATAACTATTTTTAGTCTTCAAATTTAAAATAAATTTTTTTCTATTCTCTTAAATTTAAAGTTTTTTTAGTTTCTATAATTTTTTAAAAAAATTATTTTAGTCTTTCAGATTATTGATAACATCTAAAAGTGATAAATTAAAACAGTTATGCAATATCAATTAAATTTAACTGGATGTTTTTACTAACATGGATATTTGTAGGTAAATTTTATGTGACAATATTTAACAAATGTTTAAACAAAATTTGAGTATAAGAACTAAAACAAGACTTTTAAAAATTATAGAACTAAAAATATCAATTTTAAATTTAAAGGAGTAAAATAAATTTATCTTAAATTTTAAAAATTAAAAATATATTTAAGACATTTTTGTAACTCAAAATACTTAACATCTTTTCTCAGCTAAAAGTACAAATTTTTGCATAATAATTTATTTCGTATAAACGAAAGCCCTCTGTTATTTATTAAATTATAAGCACAAATGTGATCCAATAGTGCGAGCAACTTGAGAACCATTGTAGTATCATGGAAAAATATGGTTCGTATTGAATTGAAATTAAAATTAGGTTAAAATATTTTTTTATTTTATTTTTTAGTTCTTATAATTTAAAATTGGCTTTTGTAGTTTTTGTACTTATATTTTCAATTAATTTTAGTTTTTATAGATAAATTTTTTTAGTCTTTATATTTACAGTATTTTAATTATTTTAGTCCTTATAATTAATTGTTTATAGCATTATCTCTTTTACGTTCTTTCATGTTGACATAATAGAAGTATAATTTAACTTTATGTATTTGATATTGTATTTATTTTACTAAAATTACTCTAAAACCGTTTGATATGCCTCTTTTATACTTTAATATACAACACTCGTTAAGACACTTTTTTTTTGCTTTCACAAAATTAAAGACTTTTAATATGTCAACATAAAATAGATAAAATTTATAAAAAAAAATTAAAAATAGAGACAAAAGAATTAAAAATTTTAAATATAAAGACAAAAAAAATCTTAATCTAGAGAGACTACAAAAAAGTAAAAAAGATAAATATAAATATCTGTTTTAAACAATTAAAAAGTCAAAAGTAAAGTGAATGAGACTATTGAAAATAAAAAAAAAAAATATATATTTTGATCTTAAACTTGTGGCCTTGTACCAGTAGCAGATCGTTGATCTATATCCGTAAATACAAAATGATATATAATTGAAGAAATTACTTGCCACTACATAGGGAAATTGTGACATTAAGATTAAAGTTAATCAAAAGATTTGAATGATAGAATGAATAGATAAAACAGTAATATCAATTTTGTGACCCAAGATTTGATTTTGAATAAAGGGGGGCTCTGACTTCTAGACTCCAACAACTATCATTTGTTTGCTTTAATGCTCTGCTGCTATTTTCGAGGCAAAGCATGCTTAGCATCATAACCAAACATAAAGGACTTGAAATATTTTTATTATCAGCCGATTCAATGGAAATACTCAAATACATGATTAACAGGATTGCTGCAATTCAAACAAATTTAGAAATTTTAATATACTATACATCTCCCACCACCCTACAACAGAGTGCGAGATGAGATGGATCACAATTAACTTCACAAAGGGTAAAGACTAAAATCTTATTCAGTTCAGTAACTCTACACTGTTCTGAACCAAGATACAATGCTAAAACTGAAAACCACATAAAAGAAAAAAATAATTGCCTACTCATTGTCCACTGAAAGCTACATTCTACCTGGCATATAAATAAAACACATATTAGTAAATAACTGTGTAATTGGCGAATGATACACAAAAGAATTCAGAAAATTTAATATACTCTGTATCTCTGGTTCAATTCGACAACTCTCTAGTTTGTTCTAAATCACAAGATACAATGCTAAAACTGGGCAATCAAATGAAAGTGAAAACTAATAGCTTACCCACATCCATTGAAAGAGAAATTCTACCTGACATATACAAAAAACAAATATTAGGAAAGAACTGTGATTTGCAAATGATATGCAAAAAGGCACGAATGGTCACTGACCTTTTATACAGAGCCTTGACATCTTCACCTAACAATGGACTTTCAAAAAAGAGATCGCCACATTCTTTCACACCAACTACTTCAACTTCAAAAGCTCGATCACCACAGTACTGGTTCCATTCAAACCACATTTTTGAAATTAAATCCTTCTTGAAACAAGTAGTGTGATCTTCCTCTTCAGGGGAATCAGCAGATACCAATCGATACACGAAGACTTTCTTCTTCTGACCCGGTCTGAATGCACGACCAATAGCTTGGCGAGTAACCGAAGGATTGAGATGAACGTCCACAATAATAATGCGGGATGCCCCGACCAATGATATGCCCTCTCCACAAGCCTTGATCGAGCCAAAGAAGACTTTGGCATCAGGAGAATTGTTAAATTTTTCCATGGACCATTCTCGGTGCTCAGGGCTTGATTCTCCTGAGATTACAAATATTTCTCTTCCTAGACTCCAACCTTTCCATTTCATGATTAACCTTTCTAAATATTTCAAAGGTAACAAGTATTGACTAAATACTAGAAGTTTCTCGCCAGCTGATTCACACAAATTTACCATGTTCCAAAAGAATTTGGACTTCACACCATCTCTCAAAGCCAACGTCTCAATGAGATCATCAATTATGTTTTCAGATATAGAATTTTCACTACATTTTTCTGCAAGTGATTTCAGTTTAGGATGCAGATAGACAGCACTGCCTATAGAACTTAACTTGAACTTTCTACATAACTTTTTTAATTTCTCAATTTCAGACTTCTGTCTAGGGCTAAGAGTGAGCACCACAGTAAAATCAACAAGACCAGGAAGCTCTTCAAGAAAATCTCCTTTATAGTAGTGAAGTACCTTGCTCGTCATCTCGCGCAAATCTTGTATAACAGCTACTTTCCTTTTAAAATCTGTGTCCTTCTGCAAAGTGTTTTCAACTAAATCATAGAAGCTTCTCACACCCTGTACATGAACTCTACTTTGAATGCGCCTCACGATAGGCCTAGATGATTCCATCTTCAAAAATTTTGGCCGAACAAGATTTAAAATGTTAAACACCTCCCTGACATGATTTTGATAAAGGGTTCCTGATAGTACAACTTTTCTAGGCGTTTGAACTTTTGCAAGGGACTGTACCATATCTGTGTTTTCATTCCTTGGATTGTGTCCCTCGTCTAAAATAAGAATTGAAGGAACCTTGAGTAAAATCTCTTGGCAAGATGATGATGAACTGTTGGTCCCATTATCACAGACAATAGAGGAGAACTGTTTGTATCCTAAGAAAAGGATACTCTTCTGCTCCATCCATTTCTTCAACACTACTAGTTGTTGACTTCTACTATCAGCCTTCACTGAGTAAAGGTCATAAAGAGGTATGTCCTCCACTTGCCATGTTTGAAACTCCTTTTTCCATGTTGACAATATTCCCTTAGGAAGCACCACTAAGGGTCTTGCGTTAGGATACTTGCCTAGAAAACTTTGCATGAAACTGATTATCATAAATGTTTTCCCAGATCCTGGAGCATGGGCCAAGATGCAGCCCCCAGGATGGTCACCCGCAAGATTTCTAACAAGAAAATTGAATCCTTCAACTTGATGGGGTTTCATCTGTTTCATGTGTCTAGGATGCGCTGATATTTCAGTTACTATAAGCTCATCTTCAGCAACATTTATTCCAAATACATCTCCTTTTTCTTTAGTATTCCGTGAATCAGACGCATAAGTTCTTGTGCTCCGTTTAACCTTCAATAAAAGTGAGATAATAATAAAAAAAATCCGTTTTGAACAATTCCTGTTCCAGGCGTCCAGCCATAAGTACTCTTAGATCTTAGTTCACAATACGTATCATAAGAATTAAAAACTAGGCATTCTTTGTATGGAGTAATTAAGCTCACATGATATGAATGGTCTACTTGATATTATATTATTTTGGTTTAGTACGGACGTTTCTGAGTCCTTAATAAAATTGTGTTGAATCAAACAAAATAAACATTTTCTCACAAGAAGTATGAGAAACAGTAAATTATCAGAAGAGTTTCTTTTATACAATTAAGTTTCTAACTATTTCACTTGTCATGTTGTTATGATTATGCCCTGCCCTGCTCAAACATTCGATCTATGCAGTGTATCAATATTCAATCCCCATACTTAAAAACAAAAATTTCACACATTCTTTAAGTTTTTATAATCAAGACTTGTAACCAAAAAAGCATTAATGCGGAAACAAGAGTCTAACCTTGTACTGGAACTCGAATATGGTTTCAATTCCTCGGTCAATAATGCCACAAACGCGACAAACATAACCAAGATCGTCTTTTAAAACATAAGAATGATCACAGTCCTCATATTTATTTACTTCTTCATCCGGCAGAGGGTTTTCATCTTCTTTTACTTCTTTATCTGGCGGAGGATTCACGGAAACTTCCTAGTAGAGTACAATTAAACTAAGTCAAAGCCAAAGGAACTCTGAAAATTGCAATTTGCATGTAGAATTCAAAGTGATAAACAATATTCTTAGAAGTTAAGTTATTATGCCGTGGGCATAAGTAATTTTTCAGAGCAGAAAATAAAAGCATATGTAATATTTACATGTGACGAGAGCTTTACATGTTATATGCATACAACAGGTAACACAGAATAAATGAGAAATGAGAAAGCAAATTACTGGAGGCCAATAAGGATCATTTTATGCCAAAACACACGAGGTTTAAACAATTCAAAACATTAGGTTACATTCAATATGCACTTTTTGAACTTCTGTACTTCTAGCATATGCAATAATACACATAAATAACTGATACTGAGCTTGGCTGACAGAAATCGGCAGACCATTTTCGGTGTACATCTACAAAATTATTTACTGCCGTTTACATAAATCAATGAATAATCTAGTTAACAACAACAACCCCACTCAAAGAAGGAACAATTAACCTAACACAGATATTAATGAAGCATTAAAAATTAAAAGACATGCACAAAACCACCCAAATGAGTAGAAGATAAACTACGTGACAAAGACAATTATTATAATAAAAAAGTAAAAGCAAATTAAAGTATGATACTTTGGAACATTCTATTGCCATTGACATCTCCTTCCAAATATCTTGTAGATCATCATCATCTTCAGTATCAACATGATGATCCTCTTGCTCTTGTACACCAATATAAACACCTTTATCGCCCCTAGAGTTACCTTTACCAGCCATACTTGGCTCAGTTTTTAGATCTTCACTTTCCCCGTGGTATGGAATGGGAGTGTGGTACCCCTAAAATGCATTATCGAACACAAAATAGTAAAGTACATCAGTGAACCAACTTGCATTAAAATGATGACCAAGAAATAGAAGACCCTGCATCTTCTCCTGAAAAGTAGCTACAAATTTAATCCCAATGTAGTGTAGTGATTCAAATGAATTATATTTACAAAATGTGCTCTGAAAAATAAATGGTATAACTCATACCATAATGCACTATTCACCTTTCAACATTATTGTGTGCGTAGCAGGAGTAAAGAAAAAAAATAGATAGAAACAACACGACATCTAGAGAAAATATAATCCAGACTTCCAGATACATCCATTGTTTTCACTTTCAACCCCGTCACTTGTCCAGTGGCCAAGCATACTATAAATGATCAAAAGTACAGGAAATTTCATATTGCATCAGAACATTCAAGTTTAGCAAGACAACCAATCCAACGATTACATAACTAAAACCCCGAGGCAACAAAGTCAGATTTCAGTGCAACTGGGCCAAAGTACTAGAAATTAAGTGGTTGTTGTTTAGAATTATGCAGTGTTAAGAAAGTAAGGGACTGAGAATTTTTCACAATATATACTTCATGCTTCAAAATTTCACTTCAGAGTCTTCAATACATTCATTAATGCTAATGTTGTAATTCATCTGAGCCTTTGCACAAAGAAGGAACACTAATATGCTAAAAGAAAACCAGCCAACTTTGAGAATTCAATATATCAGTAATCAACTTGTTATAATTATAAATACTGTTAAGAAAAATAGTTTAAAAAATGTAGATGGTCCAATGGAGAAAAAAAAAATCTTCACCAACAGCTAAGAGAAATGCAACACTTAAGCTAATATATCTGTATTTTCTACAGAATAACATAAAAGATGTGAAATGATGAGTTATATTATGTATGACACACGAACATAATATGCCAAAACGCAAGACATATACAATGGATCATATATGGATGATAAATATATAAATTATACAATTAACATTAAAACAATATAAACTAATCTCACAAATGTATGTCAGACTAAGTTATAGCTATGGCCTCTTCACTCCAGAAGAATCTGCTTTGTAAATATTCGAAAGGTAAGGCACTTTGTTCTTGAAAGGAACAGAATTCAGGAAAAAAGAATAATTCAAATAAGAGTCAAAGATATATTTACAAAAATTTATGCCACAATTCAAATGTTGAAAATAAATGCAACAATTTTGTCAAATCGTCCCTAGACGAAGCATATAACTAATACATTTCAAATAAAATCACATGCATATTAGTAACCATGCATTATTTCAATAGGAAATAACACTAGTAAAAATATGTACATCATTTTAGTGATTATCTCTCTTAATGACAGAGAGACAAACATAAAAATTAGTATTATAAAAAATATTATACATGTATCATTCATTACTCTTTCAAAATTCATATTTCGTATATTAAATTTGTATATTTAATTAGTTACGAAAATAAGGAAAAACTTACAATCCTCTTCAACGCATGAGACGATGCAACTAATCTCGGCAACACAACTTCATGAAATGGAACAATAGATTTTTTATCTCTATCATCTTCCTCTTCTAAAACTTCATGAAATGGAACAATAAATTTTTTATCTCTATCATCTTTCGCATCTAAAACTTCAATAAATGGTACAACAGATTTTTCATCTCTACCATCTTTCTCGTCCAAAACTTCAATAAATGGAACAACAGCATTTTTATCTCTATCATCTTTCTCATGTAAAACTTCATGAAATGGAATAATAGATTTTTCATCTCTATCATCTTCCTCATCTGAATCAATAATCACAATAGGATATGGTGCTGCATCAACACCCTTTTCAGTCTCGACATTTTGATGTATCAAACCAGCAACTTTTTTATTTTCAAACTTAAAAGCTTCTTCATTGTGGTCCATTTCCACTTTCAACATTTGATTAACAAGTCTGGGATATTTCGCAAAGTAACGTCCCAATATCTGCATTTTTCGGGTAACAAGGGCCTCTATGTCCTTTGTGACACTTCCAAATTTTTCGTGCTCTATACGACCCAGAACATGAGTAATTGTTCGGGGATTCCCGTACTCAACAACATGTGATAACTTCTGTCTTTTGTCTCTGTCAGGGCCAGGGGAAAATCCTGATTACAGAAAATGAAACTACACTCAGAGAAACCAGATATTCCATCAAGCATTATAAATTCAATACTGAGCAAAGCCACATGAACATGATCCACTAGGTGTATGCATCCTGAGAAAACATAATAAAAGTACTATAGCTAAACCAAAAATCAAACCAATGCAGAGTCACAGGCCAAAAGCAAAGGCTTATAGACTTCAACTTGACTCTAGTGAGATGCTACACAGAATCACAAACAAATGCAGTTTCAACTCCAGCTAGCAACTAATCAAATCAAACCATTTAAATTCATAAAATAAAATAAAACGCTTGGAGTCACCAATTTTATTTTATTTTTTCAGCATAGAACCTCATAAACTACACATAAAGTAACACAATCTCACACACAACAACAACAACAACATATAACACTGGCTATTGGCGTTAAATCCTAAAATTAAAAGTGCAAACAATCCACCTAAAAAGTGAAAGATAAAAGTGAAAATAATATTGGAAATGCAAACATCATGCGTAGTGATCAACATTTATTACAAATTAAATATAAATAAAAAAAACAGAAGAACAAATTTGATAAGGAAATGAGGAACAAATTTACCGTCTGGACGGGGGCGTTTAGCTGCCAACACATCAACAGAAAACTCCATCGATAACTATCAATGAAATGAAGAAACGAAAAATTGAGGCAAAATTAATATCAACAGAAATAAAATTATACGTATTGCATAAAACGATCGAAAACAAGAGTTGTGCTTAGAAAAGAAGAGAGTGAGAGTTATTACCTATGCGAGTGAAGAGAGGGAATGGCTTTGAGAGTGCAGAGTGAAAGCATTGAAGAATTGGATGAGTAGTATAGAATGTGTAGTGAAAGTGACTGTGTGCGTGCGTGACTCTTTAGTTTTCATTTGGGGCAGAGATTCCCTGTGTCGCGGCTGTAGCGTTCATGCAGTGCGGGTGCAATTGGAGTGCGTGGTGTGGTGTGTGTGATGTAATTGTTAGTTACCGTGTTTGTTAGGGTACTTCTTCTAACTTTGACAAACAAATATGAGCCGTTTGATTTAGATCATGCAATTTCATTTACGTGGGTTCAGTCTATTTTCAACTCACAAAGTGTTTGTGGATGAACAAAATTTTCCATTTTTCTTAATTATTTGATTACATTAGTACTTTTAATTTGTGTAATGTAGAATAAATATTTATTATATATAATATAACTAAAATTTATGATGAATTATTTATAAAAATAAATATTATATTTATATATATAATTATCTTTAAAATTCATATATATAAATATTTAAAATATAAATTATATTATAAATTAAAAAAAAATATTTAACATTGTAATATAAGATTATTTTTAATTATTAATAATTTATTTTAAAAATAGTAAAACTTAATTTATTAAAAATAATAAATAAGAATTAAAATAGATAAGAAATAAAAAAAATAAAAAATAACAACGCGTCCGCTCAATAAAAATAATTGAAAATGCTTTTGTTAAAGATAAACTCCTAAAAAATATTCTTTATATAGTCATTTTCTAATATATAAGGGTGAATTAAACTCAATATCAAGTCATTTACATTGTAACCACTTCCATTTATATATATGTAAGGTTGTAAGTGGGTATAGGTAGCTCACAAATTTAAATTCACTCAAATTAATTTAGTGAGTTTAAATTGAATTTTTTTAGTGTTTGGATCAAACCTAACCCAATCTAATCAAAATTCAACACTGTACAAGATGGATAATGAGTTTTGCATTTTTTGACCCATTTTTTGACCCATGATCAAACCTAACTTGATCATATATATATATATATATATATAATACAATAATAATAAATTAGTGTTTGGATAATCATTTGTTCGAGATAATACTCTCTATCACCCTTTGGCAGTAACGAATTTTGTGTTTTTGAGTTGATAGTATTATAAAAATACAACATATTTTTTTAAAATTTTATTTTGTATTAATGCTAGTTGCTTGAACCGATAACAATGTAGCAAATCAACAAATTTAGTTTCGAATTTAATTTGTATCATTATTTACTTTATGAGATGATAACACTGCATTTGCAATAAGATATCAAATAGTTTACATCTATTATAAAATATTTAAATTTTACAATAAATAAATAAATTTAATTATGTTTGACCTGATTGACCCAATCTAATTCAATTCTTTATGATTAGGTTGGGTTGGGTTGGATTTCACAAAAGAAAGTGTACAAACCCAACCCAACCCTACCTATTGAATTTTGATCGGGTCGAGTAACAAATTCATCCAAACTCGACCCAATTTCACCCACTTCACCCCTATACATACGAGTATATTTTATCTAAGGCACTTAAATAATTAACTAATATTTTAGCCTATGTAATGCACATACATTTTTATTATATATAATATAATTATAATTTATAATTAATTATATAAACAAATAATATATTTAAATATATAAATTTATCTAAAATTAGTATGCATAAATATTTTTAAACATATAAATTATATTTTAAATTTGTGATAAATAAGTTGTATTGTAACAAAAAAAAATAGTTATTGATAATATACTTTAAAATTTTAATATTTAATTCATAAATAATTATGCTAAATAAAAATCAAATTAGATAAGAAGTTAAAAAATTCCTGCAAACCCTCTCATTGAAGAAAAACCTTTAAAAACACTTTCTTACAAGATAAAGATTCATATTTCATATACACTAGTATTTTATCTGGTGCAATACACAGGATAAATATTTATTATATATAACTAAAATTTATAATAAGCTACATATACTAATAAATATTATGTTTGAATATATAAGTCATTTAAAATTTTTATAAACATTTTTAAACATATAAATTATATTTTTTATAACTAATTATAAATTATATTTAAAATTTATCATAAATAATTAATAATATCACACATATTATTTTTACTTATTAATAATTTATTTTTAAAATCTTAAATAATTCATAAACAATCATGATAAATAAAACCAAATTAAATAAGAAATTAAAAAAAATCTAAAAGTCCTTTTGTAAAAGAAAAACTTTTAAACATATCCTTGTGTAAAATAGAAATTCATATATAATATATAAGAATCGATGAGTTAATAAATCAACTAAATTATACTTTTTTATTCATTTAATAATAGCATGAAAAACAACTATAGAATATTAAATTCAAGTTAAAAAGATTGTATAGCATAAGAGTATATTTTATTGGTATTCTAAAATCAGTAAAATTAGTATTTTTAATGTGTATCATACAAGTTAAATATTTATTATTTGTAACTAAAATTTTTGTAATAAATTATATATACAAATAAATATTATGTTTAAATATATAAATTATATTTAAAACTTGTATAAATAGATAATTTTATATAGTATCACATTTTTTTATTTTTTGATAATTTATTTCAAAATATTAAAATTTATTTCATAAATAATTGTAATAAATAAGATATGAAGTTACAAAAATCTCTAAAAACTCTTATATCGAAGAAAAGACCCTAAAAACACTCTCGTGTAAAATAGAGATTTGTGTTTAATACATAGGGGTTGATGTTGTTTGTAACATACTCTTTTTTAAAATTAATTAAATAAGATAAAATATTTAAATAATATCTATATTTTTTACTTAATTAATTTGTTAATTGGTTTTATGATAAAAGATAGGTTTAATTGCATTTTTGATTCCTCTAGTATTATAATTGTGTGATTTTGGTCCCTAAAGTTCTAATGGAGAAATTTAAATCACCAAAATATAGCAATTGTGTGATTTTGGTCTCCTAAAATTGAATTAAACAATTTTAGTCTTTCAAGTATTGCAATTGTACAATTTTTGACCTATTTAAGTTACATATATTATAATTTTCATTCATATTAAATGATTATTATTACTAAAATTACTAATATATGTAACTTAAATAAGTAAAAGTTTACATAATTCGATACTTGATAAACTAAAATTTCTAATTGTTATACTTAAGGGATCATAAACGCATTTAAGCCAAAAAAAGATATAAGGTGTTTTTAATAATTAAAATAAAATAGAGATATATTATGAGTTTGTGGATAGCCTTTGGATTTGGACTTTTTAGCCCAACATCTTGTTAATAAGAGAAGGATGAAAGGTTATGTTATATTAATTATTCTAAAAACTTAAGAGTGTCTATAAAGAAAACTTTAGAGAAGAATCACGAAGAGTGCATGGAATAGCTTCAGACTATAGAGATCGTGCCCATTACCTTGGAGATCATCATCTAAGGAAAGAGGGAGAGTGAAAATGTCTTACCTTGTGGGCATGTATGAGAAGTATGGATAGTGAGGCAATCCCTAAGTCTTCTTAGGATAAAGATTTGTAATGGTATGTGTTTGATGAATTAACTGATATTATGAGATTGATGTTGTGGTATAATAATAGCTAATGTCATTTTTGTGGATTTGAGATGATGAATTGAACCTTGTTATGTGTTGGATAATTAATTAAGGATTAAATTTGTATGATAAATTACGAGTTTTGTATGATTTGGATGCTATGTGTTTAAATATGTGAGGGAAGCTTATCTTGTTCTTCTTCTTTCATTTAAAATGTCTTAAAAGTTGATTGAAAACCTATTTTATTAATAGCTGTTAGTAATTTATTTGATGGTGAAAATATTATTTTGTTATCTAAAATTTTTTGTATGAGCATACCTCGATATTTATGTTATTTCTCTATTTGTGATGCATTGTGAGATATTGTGTTTGACAATTATGAGACATATCATATAGAACATGTTTTTTGATTAGAGATCCTTTATGTGCAACATTTAGTATATTTGACGTGTTATGAGATAATATTGATGTTGACATGAGAAAGTCCAAGCAAAGACTTGATGGGGAGAAAATCTAGGCAATGCTTAGTCATTTGAGAAGTCTAGACACAAAATTCTAGTAAAGTGATGAAGATGAGATGATACTATGAATTCCCATTTGTTTGTGTTTGATGTGATGTATTTGGGAGTTCATGAATACATGCATACTTTGTTTGGAAGCAGATATGTTTCTATGTAGTAGGTCTTTATAGTTTTCTACCTTAGCTTCAAGAGTGCTATAGTGGGGAATCTCTAACACTGGGTTGGAGGTGACCACGACCAACTGTGATACCTCAATTTACTTATGATGGATTTCCTTCTAATAAAAGTGGATTGTGTTGAAATATGTGTCCATTGTGTGGTGGCCTTGCACTTTTGTCTATGTGCTTTTATTCCACTTCGACTTTGAGTGCCTTCGACTTTGAGCGCCTTCTGTGATTTGAAATTGGCTCTACATGCATATAAAATTAAAAGTATGAGTCTGTAAGAGCCTTTGAGAAGTGAAGGTGTATGATTTTGAGATTAATGAGTTGGATGAATTTTTATGAGGATTGAGACTTGAATGCTTTGAATTAACTTGAGTTGTATTTATATGGTGTGTTAAAGTACTATTCATATTCCTATACTTGTCTATGTTGAGATATATTCTCACTCATCTTGCTTATTGTGTTGTTTTGTCTAGGTTGAATGTCAAATGTAGGAGTTGATTAGGTAGATGAGTTCGAGCTAAGGGAGACGAAACTTAGGCTTTGATTTTGCTTTTATGGGTCTTGTTCTAATTAATGAGACATCAAAGCTAGTGGATAATTTATGGTTTATTTATATTATTTTCTAAGAACCATGTTTTTAGACTTAGAGTTTACCTTACCGTGTTTCATTTTTCTTTGAAGATTTGTAAAGGTTGTGGTACCCTTTTACTTCTTTTTAGAACCTTTCTATTATTAAAGTGAATGTAGTTTTATACAATAAAATTTAGACATGTGAATCATTTTACCTTA